TGACATTCCTGTAACATATTGTTCATATTAAGTCATGTTTTACTGTCTTTTTTTCTAAATGAAATATCAAACTCTGCTGTCCTACGTCCAAATTGAAACCACTCCCTAAATAGCAAAAGCAGAGTTAGCTTAAGCCAATCTAAGTCTGTGCCGCCACAAGAGACGATCATGTCATGTTTCCATTTCTATTCCTGCTTTTGCATCAGCACCCGTGCAGCCACGGGGTGAGCTGGACCAGCGACCTGATGCCCCTGAGGGCTAGTCCTCACTGCCACCGTCTATAGATGAATTTTTGGCTGGATCTGTGTGGTAGAGCCCTGATACAGGGCTGATACTTGGCTGCGTGTACGTGCTAGCAGCAGCACAGGGGAAGGGTGAGATGAAGAGGAGAAAGGGATAATCTTTACACTGGCTGTGCGAACATAGGATGGTTAAAAGAAGGGGAAAGTTTTGTTTCTTCTTGCTCTCGTCCTGGCTGCCTGGTCTTGCTCGCTCTCTCGGGCTAGTTCTGGTGCACTGAGCCAGTTGAACTCATTAGTCCAGCAGAGAAACATGTACTTTTTGCCAGATTAATGAATTCAGCTAGTATGGAGAGTAGCTTGCTATGCGCCAAGAGCTGGCATGAGGTAACTGTGGGGGATGGAGAGAGCACGAAAATCCCTTTTTGATGGTCAGCAGTGGTTAGATTGATCTGCTCTGTGTCAGTGAACTTCACTGTTAACGTGCAGGTTTTCTTTTTGAGGACTTACGGATTCATGTGTTTTAATAACTTGAACTTTGAAATGGGAAACAAAGAAATCTCTGAGAGGCCTGGAGGTAAAAACTCAATGCTTTTCAGAGGTGTGCATGCAGTGAAGTGGAAGTTAGCTCTTTTATCTGGTTGTGTATTTTGCACCTCTGACAAATTCATGTTAGCGTATGACATTTATGTAATTTATATATACATTTGTTTTGTATGTCCTGTGTTGTATAGTGGGATTTACTTAAGCCTCTCAGACTGAAATCAACTCAATTACAAAATAGATGTTTTCCAGTAATACATCATTGCGGAGTACTCCTGCCAGCACTTTTCCCCCCCCATGCTATGTGAAAGGCCCTTACGAGCTGGGAAAACTGTCCTATTCCGTAAATATTTTTGGCCCAGAAATAGCCTGCTTTTTAGGTTCGGAAGTCGAACTGTGATCATAACCTATTGATTTTTCTTTCTCTATATAAACCCTTTGAAGAAATGGCATTTTAAAGTAGTAAATTACGACACCTGCTTGTTTACTTGCTAGTATTTCTATCTGTGTATCTTTTGCTTAAGAGTTGCATCTCAGGGCAATATGCCTTGAGTGACTGTAGTTACTGTTGCTGTGGTGTTTGTACACATAGACTTAGATGTATCTAGCAGAGCTGCAGACACTTAGGATGATGCACAGAATTGGAAAAGCTGTTGTAAATATCTGTTCCTAAGCTACTGGATCTTTTCAGTAGATTTTTTTGGTTTGTTCTGCTGATGTTTTAGGATGAGAATAGAGCATGAGCGCATTTAAGAGGAGCAGACAACTGTTGGTACTGACAGCAGCTCTCAAAACGCTGCAGTTGGTCAGTTAAGGACTAAAACACATTGACTGCCTAAAAAGCTGTTACCACGCAGTTGGGATTGCCTTGTGGCATCTTCTGCCCTTCCATGACACAAAGTTTGGTGCCTCTGTGACCTGTAGAAATGAGGAGTTTACGAGCGTTAAAGCTTGCGTGCCAGCACCACTTCCTCCGCTCCCAGCCTGGGGTTGGGAACTGGAAGAGTTTTTGTGCAGTAGCATGTTGGGTGTAGCTGCAGTGAACGGAGGTGTTCAGGAAGGGACTGGTATGTAATTGTGGCGTGAGAAGACTGGGATCTGAGCAGTCTGCTCAGGTTTTGCTGGAGCAATAAGCCTTGCTAGAGTTGCCTTGTGCCGTGTCTTTTGTATTTCACCTCTAAAGATCTGCTCGCATCAGTGAGGTGCGCGGTATCCTTGTCAGCCTTCTAGAAGGATTAATGACGCCTGTGCGGGGAGATGGTAGCGCCAGGGAACCCAGGATGGACAAAATCCAGAGCTGGTGGCACAGGAGCAGCAGAGGGAGAGTGCTCTGACAGCATAGGCTGGTGCATGCAGGGAGAGGGAAAAGATGTTCAAACACGTGTGCTGAAGTTGAAGAGTAGAAAAGTAAAAGTTAGGGTAAGATTAAAAAGCTAGCTTTAAAGACAGTGTGAGGCATGACACTTTGCCAAAATGTCCTGGCAAGAATGCGGAGTGTGCGTGTTTAGAAGTGTAGCTGGTCAGTGGTACCTCAACTGCCTGACTTGGATGGGAATCCAGCCATGGTGCTTTATTGATTGACTTTCAGCTGTGATAGGCAGGTAGGACATGCCATCAGGAAATTTTTTTTTTTCCTGTTTTTTTTTTTTGATTTTTTTTTTTTTTTTTTTTTTTTTTTTTTTTGGTGAGTGGGCATACCTGGTGTGTGTCGCTTACTTTTAGGGGGATGGTGGGGTTTTTTAGCAAGATCTGTGTTTGATGATGGCTCATTCATAATGCCTGCATAGTTCTTTCACAGTGCCTTTAATCAATATTGTCATTTTGCAGACAGAAAATAGAGGTGCATTTCTGTGTATTTTGCTTTTCCCTGCTTTGTCACTAAGCCAGCAGTATTGTGGAGCATGAAACTGCTTCTTGTCTTCCACTGTGCCTAAGCCAGATGGAGCAGGCTATTAGGACTTGCTACGGTATGGCTGTGCTGAGCCAATTCCAGCTCCTGGATTGGTTTGCGACATTACCCTGCATTACCCAGCTTAGTCTTAAAGCACTGGTGGTGTGGAGAATGATAGCAAGGCTGCCATATGCAAGAAAGGGTCGAACCAGTCCGGTTTTAGATATGGATGGTAAAATGTCATCTTAGTTAATTATTAGTCTAGCTAGATTCTCCAGTTACTCATTTGGATTACTAATGATTGGATGTTTACTCTTATGGGTAGCTACGACTTCTTCCATCTTGAGTCTCAGGTAGCTTTGAGTCCTGGGAGGATTTCTTCAGCAAGAGACTCGTACAGGCCTGCTTTATGGCCAATAACATCTGTTCTCTGATGGAGAAACTCGCTAGCAATGCTGAATGCAGTAGTGTTTAGCTTTTTGGAAAGAGCATTGCCTTGGATGCAGTTTGTGTCCTGACCATTTGCTCATTTTGGCAAATCTTAACTCCTGCGAGTTCCCAATATGCTTTTATTCATAGCAGCAAAATATTTGCCCCCCGAAAGGGGGACGGTGTGTCACAGGGAATGGTAGAAATGAGGGGCTGGGGATAGAGTAGGGACTGCCTCTTTGCTGGTAGCATGCACTGAACTCTTTGTGAACTCTGGTATTACATGCAGTTAGTTTTTGTTGGAAAGCTGAGGCTTAGTATTTATGTAGAATAGCGGCAACATCCTGCGCATGGCATACTTGCATGCATCTTAGTGTGGTAATTGTGATGGATGTGTTTATTACGCTGTATTTTGTCTGATTTAAGCTGTGCCTGGATATTTATTCTCTTTGTGCAAGTAGAAGATTAAATTACAGATGATTATGAAAAATGTCAAATTGTAAATTGAGACGACTTTTCTTTCTGTGGAAAGGCTTTTTGTTTTCTACCTTCCCTTCCTTCTCTTTCCCCACCCCCCTTCTTAACTCCAAGTTGAAGGGTGTCTGTTTATAAATCCTGCAAGTTGGTGTTTGCATTCTCCTGTATGAAAGACTTGAATAAATGATATGGGCTTATTTTTTTATGTGCTATTTTTTTTTAAGGAATTTGAATACAGTACAGTTCTTGTCAGAATTGTTTACTAGACTGTAACTATTACATATTCAAGGAATATTCTCAATCTTCAACATCTGAATAATAATTTTGACTAGAAAATTTTGTTGCCTAAACATGGAAAAATACCGAAGTATCTTGCCAGAGCTTTCGGTACTTGTGTTAGCAACTGACAATGCAGTTGAACGAAAATCTGTTGAACTCTTGTTACTTTTCAGTTTCTGAAGTGTTGAAATTACTGAGTTACCTTCACGCTTGCTTGCAGCTTGTGGAGTTTAGCAGCTGGTTCTGTGGCTGCAGTCAGTGTAAGAGAGGGAACTCCTTGCTGCAAGTGATCTGCTCTGCGGGGTTGAGATTTGACAGGAAGGTGTGTTGAAATTCTGAGGGCATGATGGGGAACAAGTGGCTGCCTGAAAGAAAATGGTAAATAAATATTTCTTAGGCGCAGAATGTAAGCATTGCAAATAATTGGTAAATGTCAAAATGGAAATGACTTTTATGTCTTCAGTAATCACAGAATATTAAGGTGTGGTGATCCAAAAGTTTAACATACCATGAAATTAAATTTGATCTAAATGGATCTATTTCACAGTTCTGTAGTGAGGCATCTGTTATTCAACTATAGCTGTTTCTTCCAGGATTTCTTTCAGGATATCCATGACTCTTCAGTGCACAGTGTTTTTTGATATATGTTGTTACTGCAGTTCAGCGTTAGAAGAATCAGAAATATTTAAGTTCACTGCTTTTAGCAGCTTTTATGGTCATCAGTGTCACTGTAGATTATTGCTGAGCTTCTGTTTTTGATGGGTTTTCAAGTGAACGCATTAAGAGGAGTCCTCAGAAAAGTATGTACATCAGGAGTTATTTAGAAATAGAATTTCCTGATGACCTTGTGACCTGACAAGCCTCTGGTGAACTTTGGCTGAAATTTCAGAATTTTGAACATTGTCAAGGTCACTGGGAAGTGCAGAAACTGATAGGTTAGCAGTAAATCAATGTTAGGTGAGTTTTTGTCATGCGTGTTCCAGAAGTATAGAGATCCTATGTCAAGGATCAACCCCCTTTATCTTACTCTTGTCCTGAATATTTGCTAGCTAATGTCTGTCTTCAAGGTCTGTGCAAGGTTGCATCCCAGCGTATGCTGTTGACTGTGTTTCTGTAATTAACAAGTGTTTTTTTCTTTTAAGCAGGGAATCATTAGCAGAATGACAGAATCAGTGAAAAGCATTGTACCAGCGTGGTTACAGAAGTATTTCAATAAAAGTGAAGATGAATGTGTAGATACAAATGAATCTACAAACCAGGAAGAGAATCCAGTAAACTATCACCATGATTATGCAAATGAAGATACCATAGTGATTGATGGGAGAGTCACGCCTGAATCAGCAAGAATTAATTTAGAAGGTATGTGAAAAATCATGTAGTATTCTGGCCATCTGTATTTATTCACAGATTTCTGGTTTTGAATCTAAATTTCTCAAGGAAGCTGGAAGGAGTGTTTTGACAGAAATAAAAAAAAAACCCAACCAAAAAAAACCCCCCCACAAAACATAATGAAAAATAAAAAACCAAAACTAAACAAAAAAACCCCAACAGCTGTTTGCGAAACTGTCTTAGCTTTAAACTGTAAACATAATTATGAAACATAATGGAGGTTGTCTTACAGCTCTTGGAAGTCATCATTTAACTTCAGGTAGTCAATTAGCCAGGTGCAAAATATTGATTCATTTGCAAGTATGCTGGGTTACATTTTCTTTTTAAAAGGTCTGGAATGAAAGTCTATCTAATTGCCTAAGGTAATAAAAACATTCATTTGTTTTATTGTCCTCAAAACAAAAAGACCAGACACTAGAATGCCAGAGAAAAATTTCTCCTCGTGTCCTGATTTGGGTTTTGTTTTTTTTTTTTTTTCCTTTGGCCTTCTTCAATCAATTTAGTAAAGTTCCTTGTTAGTTTAATGGAGAACTGGGGAACTTGGTTTATGATATTATTCTTTTTGAAATGTTTGGTAATGTTAAGGTGTGTGCATGGCTACCGTGGGGTCTTTGAAAACCTATTTGGACCCTTGGCAAAGAAGTTTGCAACCCCTTACTTTACCGCATAGAAGATTAATCTGTGTTTTGTTTCTATGCCTCTCACTGTTTCTGTAGTTCTCTGCTGTAAATTTGCATATGCTCTCATTTGAGTTTCTCTTAAATTAGCAGTTTTGTAGAACTTTTAAATTAAAAAAATTAATTTTTTTTAAGAAGAGAAGGTTTGTCTGAGCACGTGTACCTAACCATCTGTGTGGAAAATCAGCTGCTTCTGTTGGCAGAATGAAAACTAATGAGGAAATACTTTTGTCATCAGTGTCATCTAATTGTAAATAAGGAGCTTTATTGCTTTCTGTGTGGCTGTAGCTTGAGAATAAGTTTGGATGTAGGAATAGAGAAGGTCTTCATGAATGAGGAACGCATGTTGGCTTTCCTGAAGAACTGTGTGAAAGGACCTTTCAGTAAGAACAGCTGCACAGCATACTTTCTAGCTCCAAGAAATCAGGAACAGATGGACACCCTAGAACCTTTAGTAGCTTGTGTTGCAGTCTGTGGATGTTGTAGATTGATCTTACTTGCTATAGTTTATAAATTTTTTTTTATTATTATTACTATTACAATTTTAGAAAGTTTCAGCTTTCTTCAGCTCTGAGGTACCAATGTACTTCAGCTCTGAGGTACCAATGTGCTAGAGCCTATATCCCATTGCTTGGCCAGCCTTCAGCCTGATAACCCTTTCTTTATCTCAAACAAGATGGTCCTAAAAATCTACCAGTGCTTTGGAGAACTAATTACTAGTACTGTGGTGGTTAGGAAGAATGAACTAGATTAAGCTTCAGAGCAAATATCAAGAGGCTAGTAACTCAAAATCATGATCATACACAGAATTCCCAGGAGAGACTGTAGACTTACTGGGTATCAGGCAAGATACCCGTTAGCAGCTGTTCCATTCACGTGGCAAGTTGGCCCTGTGAGACCACCTCTTCCAGGCCACTGGCACTGTTTGCAGACCCTTTGGTTCATGAGCTAAAAATGCCTATCTTGCAGCTGAGGCCACGAGGTTTCCTCGTCCTTTGTGCCAAAATCTCAAAAGTTAATGGATAGGAGATAATGTTTTGCCTATAGCATGACCTGATACAGTAGAATTTGGGAGGGGGGCGACAACACCAAAACAAACAAAACCCCCCAAAATCTCTGCAAATACATGGTTTCATGTTATGCGTTCAGATTAATACCATCTTTGTTACAAGATGATATGAACTGCAGAGTTGTCGGTAACTTGCCATGTAATCTCAGATTTTGGAAAGCTTATTGCAAGCTTTATCTGCAGAAGAAGGTATTTATACATGTTTGATTTAGTGAAAGACCCAGTGTTAGAGCACTTGAGCATGGGGTCAAAATTTGGTGTTGTAATACCTCATTGTTAACTACTTCTTAGTGCAACATTAATACTTAGTATTGCAAACAGTGTCGCTGTTGTAATCAGACAGTTGGATGAAACCCTATCTGGGTGAGGAAGAAGTTAAATTCGGCTTCTCTATTTTTGTGCTTAGAACTGGCAATAGCATGACTGTTGATAGAAAACAGGTTTTGGCTTCTATGAGCTTGCCTATAGGAAAGCTAATTGTCTCCCTGTTCTTCTTTAGAACCGTCCACGAGTAGATCTGCATTGAACTTTTCGGATGTGTTAACAAGGCCCTCTCTTCATCGGAGCCATTTGAACTGTACCATGTTGGATTCCACTGTACCACATTGTCAGCCCTCTACATCATCTTCACTTGGCATTGGCAGTCCTGGACTGTCTCTTGTCAAAGAAATAAAAGATTCTACCTCTCAGCATGATGATGATAACATCTCAACAACCAGTGGCTTCTCTTCTAGAGCATCTGATAAAGGTAGTTTTCACGTTCTCTAACTGATTTTTTTTTTTTTTTTTTTTTTTTGGTATCATGAAGTACTTTGCATTCTTTAACATTCCACATCACCTTCGTAAATAAAGTAGGTGAATGTCAGCTTTGGATGTTAGAATTAAATTTAATTTTTAGTATTTTAGAAGTATATAATCCTGTCACCTTTTTAATGTAGCCATGTTTTGGAATACATTTATGAGACCCTGATATTACAGAGTTGGTGCTGATAAACACACTTTTAGCTATGTTATCTGTAAATCTTGAACTGGGATAGTAGGAATTGAAAATGACTCGCTGTAGCTTGACAGCTAGGTTGAGTGCCTAGAAGGAAGAGTGACTCAGAATATCTGACAGCTGGTTAAATGTGAATAAATACAGGTGACAAATAGAAACACAAGATGTTTTCCTGTGTTTTCACCAGGAGTCAATAAAGGAACTGTCCTGACTGAAAAAGTTTTGGGCTGCTTTTTTGGCCTTTCTTGGTAGAAGGCATCAGTTGTCAATACTGCCACGAATTCAGTAAGGAATGTACGCCATTTAAAGTTTAAAAAAAAATAAACCCAACATTGTATTGATGTAGACGGGGACCTAGGTGATCTCCCTGAGAAAGGTCAAACAGCAGGTTTGCTGATTTTTCTAGTCCCCCATATAAATGGGGATTGAGGTATGCTCAGCAAGTTCTCTGGAGAACATATTTTTACAATTCAGAGTAGATGTTGCCAGGGTTTAGCAATATAACCTGAGTTTACTAGAGCTTTCTGGTGTGTCTCCATAAAACATACATGGAAAACGGGTTGTTAAGTCTTGTTGGTTCAGCCTTTGGGGAATTTTTCCTGTTTAAAACCTGTGCAATTCTGACCTATGCTGGCCTCCAACCTTTTACCAACACAGGAAAAACTTTGTATCGTTATAGACGCACCAGTGTTTAGGCAGTTCCCTTTTATTTTACCATGAAGGAAATAAAAGTAAAATTGCTCTGCATTGGAAGCATACTATTAACTTGTACATGCTTTTGAAAGATTACTGAAAGGTAACGTGTTTGCAGTTCTGTGAACAGATTTCAAGTTCAGAGTTGATACTTGATTTTCATACCATATGTGAAATCGATCCGTTTGAAGAACTGTGGAAGTTTAGAGTGCTGGAGAAATGAGTGTTAGGGCACTTTTTCATTCTGACAGACTTATTTTTCTGTATTAAAGAACTCTGGAGTTAGTGTGATCTTTAATATGAAAGTTCTCTATGTACACAAGGCATTTACATATGGCATGTATCATTTTGGCAGATATCACAGTTTCAAAAAATACTACAGGAGCACTGCTCTGGTCCACAGAGGCTGAAAGATCTCATTCCCTCTCACAGCATCCTGCAGCTAGCTCTAAAAAACCTGCATTCAATTTATCTGCTTTTGGATCTCCCTCATCTGTAAGTACTGCACAATATTTATTTTAATCAATTTGAATGTGTAGCCATTTTACTAACCACTTAATCATAATACCTTTCTCTAGTCACTTGGAAACACTTCTGTCTTTAAGACAAGCCAGCTGGGGGATTCTCCATTTTACCCTGGGAAGACCACTTACGGTGGGGCAGCTGCAGCAGTAAGGGAGACAAAAGCGCGAATTGCTCCTTATCAGGTATGAGAACAGTAGTGGGGTGTGAGGGGAAAATGTAATTGAAGTACAGAAGGGGTAGCACTGCCAAAAGAGCTGTGGGCAGGGAGCTGAAAGTGTGGCAACAGTTCCTATTTTGCCCTCTCAGCCTACAAGAGTAGAAAAGAACAATTTATGTTTAAATTCTTTTTTTAACAGTTAACGTAGAAATCCTTGTCATAATGCACGAGAATGACAGTAGCATCTTAGGTTCTGGCTAGTTGTTTGTAGTTGGGATTTTCTGTGTTGTTAAGTCTTTCAAAAAATTCCAGTTTCTGCCATTGTCTGCCTCTGACTGTGTTAAAACATGTTAAAACAACATGTAAATAAAACCAGCAATGGCATAACTTTGAAAATTTGTGTTGAAAGTAGCAAAAGCTACCTGCCTGGTACTTGTCTGTAGATTTTACACAAGCATGCCTACACCCGTGCTACAAATGTATTGTATAAAACTGTACACTCTTTACTGTAGTAGTACCTGAAAGACAACTTTGCTGATCCTCTTCTGTTACCTAGAGGGAGGCATGCAGTCCTAAATGCAGTCTCAAGATAAACAGTAAAACGCTTTCTGTTTAAATATCATTCAGATAGCTCTTGAAAAGAACTTCTTGCCCCTAAGATTTCTTCAAGTTCTAAAATGAACCAGCAAATTAAAAATGCTGACAACTCTCAGTAGCTAGAGTTGAATCTAAAAGAAAGTCAATAAAACCTGGTTTGGTTGGAATGTGTTTAAATCAAAATGACCTTTATTTAAAAGAAAAAAAAGTCAAAAGGAACTTTATTTAAGGAACTGGAAATAAGAGTTTTCCTGACCTATTCTGGCAGTCTCTTTCTACCATAGAACAAGGGGACCTACAAGTTCTTGACTTCAGGGAAACCTTGAAAATTTGCGGTTTGTTCTGACTTGGTGTTAAATCAGACTTCAGAACACTGAAAACTTCCTGTAAGCTAGGAACCCTCTTTGGTCAGCTATTTTTATTTTTTACAAAATAAACGTGGATTATGCTGAAAAGAGGAACCAAAATACTAGGCTTTTAAAGAGAGACTAGCTTGCTTGTTGCTGCATGCTGTAGATGACAGTGAGTCTTGCTTGTGTTTTTTACGTGCTGGATAGTCTGCTTCCTCTCTTCACAAAGCAGCGTGGTAAGCATGATGTGGTTAGATGAGGGGTTTAACATAATTTAAAAAAAAAAGTCACACTGAAAGGAGTTTTTTTGAATCATATTCAAAGTCATGTGATGTAAAAAAAACCCAAGTCTACTTTTTCAGTGTAATACGTTTAGATCTGTTACAGTTCAAATCAGATATTTATCTTTTTAAATAGAGTAAAAAGATCTGCAGTCAACTGTAATCTTGGGGGAAGGGAGGAAATGAGAGAAGTAAAACTAAAAATTCCTGGTGATGATTGTATACATTGGTTTTAAGATGGTACACTTACACCATCATGAAACTCTGAGTTCTGTTCTGTTATTGAAAGTACTTTCTGTAGCACAAGCCTTTGCTTCAGTTCTGTTTTCCTGATTACTGCTGCAGAGACTCTACAGGCCCAACATCTTCCCTTTTATGACCTTTTGCATTTAAGTATATTTTTTGTTACTTCATCCCGTGTGCAAGATGTGTGGGGTCCCACTTAAACTTCTATAAAGTCAGTAGAGTATATTTTCTTCTTCGTGGCCTGAATGCCCAGTGAATGTGTTTTTCTCTGTCATCACAAGACTATTGGTTATATATCATCAGTGTAGCAATAGGGCATAAAATACATGCATATTTAATCCAAAGTCAAGCATCATAACATTTGCAATGCTGATTTTTCAGCCACCAGTAAGAAGACAGATGAAAGCTAAACAAGCAAATGTGCAATCCTATGGTGTGACAAGTTCCACAGCACGGCGCATCTTACAGTCACTGGAGAAGATGTCAAGTCCTTTGGCGGTAAGTGGCACTCCATTTAATCTGTTTTATTTCATGTGTTTGAAAAAGATAGTAAATGTGCCAGTATAGGATGAAGATCTTCCTTATGTAGTGTACAATTTAATTTATTGCACTGTTTTTTCAACAGGATGCTAAAAGGATTCCGTCTCCTGTTTCTAGTCCACTGTCTTCTGTAAGTTGATCACAACCCCCCCATGTTTTTGTTGGATGGAACCCTCTCTTAGGAAGAAGATCATCCTCTAATATTTCGGTTTTTTTTCCCCTTTAGCCATTGGACAGAAGTTTGCTGGATGTTACTAGCTTCCAATCCAGACGAAAACAGGTAAGAACCAGTAACATCTTAAGCTGAGATAGGTAGATAGATAACTTTCTATGCTTTATAGCTATTAGAAGAAATGTCACAAACCTCAATGACAGCATACATGTGGATTCAAGTTAATATTAGCATTGTGTGAATTATAGCTGTCTTGGCCATGCGGAAATTGCTAAAAATGTCTTCTCTACCCACACTAGATGAAGGACTGTGAAGATTACTCAGGTTAGGAGTGATATTATCTTTGTGTGGTGGTGTATTGATATGCCAGTCAAGAACAACGTCTCTAGAACACACAAAGTAGTTTTATCTTGTCTTGCAACTTGGGGTTAAGTTGCACATTGATCTTTCTATTTAGGAAAGCTTTCTCTTGCAGAAATGATCAGAAATAGAGAAATACTGATTGAGTCATCATACAGACCTTGTGCAGACTTCCATATTCATTTTGAGCAGAAGAATAATGCTTACATTTTTTATTACTGCTCAAAATAAGGAGAAGGAAAATTATTAAATCTTGTCACTTCTGTAACCTTATGTTCCTAAATTCCTATTTGGAGATAGCACTGAATTGGTGATAATGCGTTATTTCCTTCATTTTTGTTAAAAAAAAAAAGAATAATGTTATTTAATCACTTTAATTTGGGGTATCACTGAGTTTATTAAATTGTAAAACCCACAAAAGGCCACTTTAAGATCAGGCAACCGAAGGAACAAAAGTGCGGTTTTTCTTCCGTGCAAACTTTTCATCTGCTATTTTAATGAGAAATGGACAGACTGTCTCAAGAAGGTTCTATGCTAATCCCTTGATCAGAAGTATAATTAATTTTAGTCACTTCAGAGTTTACAAACATCTTGGATTTCCTGTAACATTTTTTTTCCGTATGGTAAATAACAAGAATGTTGAAAAGTAGAGCATATAATTTCCTTACCATATATATTATCCAAATAATTGAAAACAAAGCTGGTATGGATTCTCAGTTAAATTGTGGAATTACACCTGTGATGAGGCATTAAGAAAGATCTACCAGATTTGCAGCATAGAGCCTGACGTCAGTCAGAAAGTGAATGTTGCACACAGCTGTCACTGGGTAAAAGTAGAGAAATTGTCTATTCATAATGCTTGAATTCATAAAGTTTGGCAGGGGAAGGGTAGCCCTTGATGAGGAGAGGGTTGTGTGTGCCAAGGAGAGGGCTGTGTGTTTTCCTGCTAAAGCAAACGTATGGTTGACAGAACACTTGAGCACTCAGGCAAAACTTTTGCAGGTATTTTTTTGTGGTATTTTTCTTATTTCGAGGATCTGCACCAGACAGAATAGCTCTTAGCGTATTAAACATCTAACTGGGAGACTTTCATTTTTTTTTTTAATTGTACATTCCTGTCTAACGAATTTGATATCCTTCCATGATAAGGTCACCTGTCTAGTGGGTGAAGGGAAGGTGGTGGATATAGTTTTCTGGATTTTAGTAAGGCTTTTGATACTGTCCCTCACAGCATCCTTCTGGACAAGTTGTCCAACCGCGGGATGATCCAGTAGATGGTGTGCTAGCTGAAGAACTGGCTGAACGGCAGGGCGCCAAGGGTTGCAGTGAATGGGGCTACATCTGGCTGGCGACCAGTCACTAGTGGTTTTCCTCAGGGCTCAATTCTAGGGCCAGTTCTGTTCAATGATTCGTCAGTGACCTGAAGGCAGGAGTTGGATGCACCATTAGCAGGTTTGCTGATGATGCTAAACTGGGAGCTGCTGTTGACTCTCTTGAGGGACAAGAGGTGTTGCAGAGGGATCTAAATGGATTGGAGCATTGGGCAATCATCAATGGCGTGAAATTGAACAAGAACAAATGCTGGGTCTTCATCAATGACATAGGCAGTGGGATTGAGGTGCACCCTCATCAAGTTTGCAGACAACACCAAGAGTGGTGCGGTTGACACACCTGAGGGTTGGGATGCCATCCAGAGGGACCTGGACAAGCTCAAGAAGTTGGGTCCATGTGAATCTCGTGAGGTTCAACAAAGCCAAGTGCAAGGTCCTGCACCTGGGTCAGGGCAAGCCCTGGTATCAATCCAGGCTGGGGGATGAAGGGATTGAGAGCAGCCCTGCAAAGAAGGACTTGAGAGTACTGGTGGATAAGAAGCTGGACACGAGCCAACAATGTGTGCTCGCAGCCCAGGCGGCCAACCCTATCCTGGGCTGCATCAAAAGCAGCATGGCCAGCAGGGCGAGGGAGGTGATTCTGCCCCTCTGCTCCACTCTGGTGTGAGACCCCACCTGGTGCCCTGCGTCCAGCTCTGGGGCCCTCAGCACAGGAAGGGCATTGACCTGTTGGAGTAGGTCCAGAGGAGGGCCACAAAAATGATCCGAGGGCTGGAGCACCTCTCCTGTGAGGACAGGCTGAGGGAGTTGGGGTTGTCGAGCCTGGAGAAGTGAAGGCTCTAGGGAGATCTTATTGCGGCCTTTCAGTACTTAAAGGGGGCTTATAGGAAAGATGGGGACAGACTTCTTAGCAGGGCCCGTTGCAATAGGACAAGGGGCAATGGTTTTAAACTAAAAGAGGGTAGGTTTAGACTGGATATAAGGAAGAAATTTTTTACAATGAGGGTGGTGAAACACTGGAACAGGTTGCCCAGAGGGGTGGTAGATGCCCCATCCCTGGTAACATTCAAGGCCAGGTTGGATGGGGCTCTGAGCAACCTGAGCGCTGTCCCTGCTCACTGCAGGGGGGTTGGACTAGATGACCTTTAAAGGTCCCTTCCAACCCAAACTTTTCTGTGATTCTGCACCCGGGATGGAATGATGCCAGGCATAAGTACAAATTGGGAGAGGAGTGGCTGGAGAGCAGCCCTGCAGAAAGGGATCTGGGGGTGCTGGTTGGCAGCAGGTTCAATATGAGTCAGCAGTGCGTCCTGGCAGCCAAGAGGGCAAACCGTGTCCTGGGGTGCATCAAACAGAGCATCATCAGCCAGTCAAAAGAGGTGATTATCCCACTGTATTCAGTGTTGGTGCGGCCTCACCTTAAGTACTATGTGCAGTTCTGGGCCCCACAGTTTAAGAAGCATGTGAAGGTCCTTGGAAGTGTCCAGAGGAGGGCAACAAAGCTGGGGAAGGGGCTGGAAGGCATGTCCTATGAGGAGCAGCTGAGGACACTGGGCTTGTCCAGCTTGAAGAGAAGGAGGCTGAGGCGTGATTTCCCTGCTCTCTATGGCTTTCTGAGGAGGGGGCAAGGTCCCTGGGATCCAGTGCCAGGACTTGAAGCTGCATCAGTCGGGGGAGGTTCAGACTTGACAGGAGGAAACATTTCTTTACTGAGAGGGTGCTCAAACCCTGGAACAGACTTCCTGGAGAGAGGTGCTTGATGCCCCCTGTCTGTCAGTGTTTAAGAGGCATTTGGACAACGACCTTAATACCACCCTTTATCTTCTGGTCAGCCCCAAAGTGGTCAGGACTAGATGATTGTTGTAAGTCCTTTCCAACTCAACTATTCGATTCCGATTCTAATTCTATTCTGTTTACATTTAAAAACAGCAACGGAGCATCCTTCATTCAAAATGGGCTTGTCAACTTAAATAAACCACATTTTACTCAAGGTTTCAAAACTAGTATAATAATTTTTAGAAAGAAGTACTTTTATTCACTTTACAGATATTACTGCATGAATTTTATCATCAAGAGTTGGGAGATACTGTGATACTAATTTAAATAATAGCATGGATCCTAAGTCTGATTATTCTGATCCTTAAGACAGAGCCTTTGTTAAATCTTGTAGACTTGGGGTCTTTCTTGTTTCATAATTCAGTTAAGTCAGTTCTGCAGAATGTACAGTGTTTCTGTTAAAAATTAACTCTTGTCCGTGAAAATGCTTTGACAAGGAAAGTAAAACCAGTACTTTTAAGTGCATCTAATATAAATATAAAACATTGGAACATATTTTAATGAATGAGAGACTATTTTAAAATTATTTGTCAACTTTTTTTTTTTTTGGAAGTGTAACTTTAAAGGAGGAAAATGTAGGAAAAATGAAACCCAGAAGCTTGTATAATTAGCCGCTTAACATTTTGAATGTTAAATTAATGGATTAAGCCAGTAAAAAAATATCACAATGTGGGCAGAGGAGAGGAAAAGATGGAAGCATATTACAGTAACATGAGTTATTTTGATTATAGTAACATGAATTATTTTGCCTATGAAGTTAACTGGCAAACTTTGAAACAGGATTCAGTCAGACTTTGGCTACTTCCATAGCTTTTTGGATTTCACAACTTGGTTTTCTGGTGATTTCCCTCTGCAAGCTGAATGCTCTCAACGCTTCGAAATAGTTTTCACTGGGTGCTGAGACTGATGGGAGGTTTATAGTTCTGTAACGTTTTTCATTCAGTAAATGCTGTGGTAATTTGAATGGATGCAAAGATAAATTGATTGTTGCTTCCCTTTCAAGATGGAATCACAGCTTCCACCTGTCCAGAAACTCGTGACACCAAAGGTGGTCCCTCTGTCGAGTCGGACCCAGTATTTTAAACCATCTCTGAGTCCAGCTACTGATTCCAGCAAAATTCACCAGAGGGTAGATACAAAGCACAAAGTAAGTAAGTTTTCCGGTCCTTATCTGCCTACTTTTTACAAGCTTGGAATGTCTCTAACCAGTTATTCTACTAAGTCACTCTTCTTGGCGGAATACTGATTGTATGGTTGAGGTAAGCGTTAAGACAGTGGGAACCATTGTGAAAGAGATACTTTGAGGTTTTATGGATTTAATTGTATTTTTGGAACAGTAAGTGGCTGGTGGTTACTTTTAGAACATGATAAAGTGCTGTTGGGTCAGGCTGTTGTCAGTGAAATAATGTTAAAATACAGAAAAATTTTCCTTTTCATATGCTCCTATACACAAAGCTGTCACTGATGGAATATGCTGATGCTGTATCTAAATTCTTTCAGGTGAGCTACAGGATCCAAGTGAGATTTCTGACAATAACCCATTCTGATCACTTTGGTGTAGATGGAGCCCTTGATAAACTTTCCTTAAAACAAGATTGGCATCTCTTTCAGAAAAAAAACCCACCCATGGTTCCAGTATCAATCAATGTAAAAATGATCAGGTGTTAAATCTATGGGCCAGAGATCAAAGTGGATAGTCATAGTGGTTAGGGAACAAGCTTAAGTAGATGAGGTATATCTAGTGGTATAAATTAAAAAACAAAACAAAAACAAAAAACCCCCACAAAACTTCTGTGGTTGTTTGTCTTTGCTTTGTATATAGTTTATAAACACATTCAGCTGAATCTTGAAATAAATCAAACTTAATTTGCAGGGCATGAGAGAGAAAAGTTTTCCTGCAGAACAACAAGTAAAACCATCTGAAAGGTATGAAAAATCTATTAATTTTAAAACACTTGAAAGAAGAAAGCTCTCTCCTTTGTTACTTCGGTCTGCATGCCTGTCTTCTTTTGGAAAGGCAGTAACAGTTCTCTTTGAAGTGGATGGAAAATACAGTGAAAAAAATTATATTGCAAGAGAGTTGAACTGTTTGCATCTTGATGTTCATTTGGGGGGCAGCTGTTAGTTTCAGTTAATTTAATTGTTCAGAGTCCGAAAGCTTTGTTCTAAAGTAATGACACTTTCTGAAAGATTCTTTATAGGGTGAAGTGGCTTACATACAGTTCAGGACTATATTTATTTTTTTTCTTTTTTTTTTAAAAAGCAAAAACCCGGAGGAAGATAGTTTTTTAATGTTCCTTTCACGGTGAAGTCACTTGTCTGCTCTGTGAGTTTGCATGAAAAACAGGAGCCCTTTAGAATCATCTGAGGCCAAATGCCAACTTGTCTCTCAAACACAATATTCCAGGAGAGTTAATAATTGTATTCCTTGTTGAGGAGATTGTCTTGCATTACACTGCTTGCTTGGTTTAGGTAGAATGACCTCACCTCCAGGTAATATTGATGGTTCTCCCTTCTGGGCAACTAGTCTTTTTGGGTAATGCTTGAATTAAGACACTTTGCATTCGAAGGTTACACTTTTTTGGAGGATTCATCCCTTTCAAACAACAGTAGGAGGGAATTGTATTTTGTTGTCTCTATGTTCATCTTCCAAGCAATTCTTATGTTGCCTTGGGCATTCTTTGGCTTGCAAAAGAACCCCAAACCAGCCCTTTGTTTTGGCATCTAATAGTTTGACTTCACAGCAACCACCTTTTCAGGGGTGTAAGAAATTGGCTCTCAGGTTTTGGCATGGGTGCAAACAGATGTTAGGTTTTAATTGTGGGTTTTCAAACTGTTCTAAATTTTCTTTGGTAGAAATCCTTTCTCCTCCTCCATGTAGAAAGGAGATCCAAAAAACTGATACTGCTTTTTATTTGGTTCACAAGTTTTATTGCTATGTTCTACTTTAGTCTCTAGAGTACATGGCCCTTTTAAAAAATTCTTCTACAAAGCCAGTCTCTGTTGGGTGTCATGTTCTTGAGCAGGAAGACAACACTGGTAAGGGGCAGCTGGCCAGAGTCCCTTTGTGCAGCTAACCTGCAGTACTTTGGTATGTCTTTGTTCAGCCTACCAAAGGCTGTTTAGTTTTTTAACTTGGGTCAGAATTGTAGATGGGACTTAACTTGCTTGAAGACAGAAAACTGTCTTTGCTCCTTAGAAGCTGACAGGTGTTAACAGAAAAGAGGAATATAGGCTATTATAGACAGGCAATAATTGTCTGAATAAAGCTCTGTTTTGACATAAGGTTTTTTTCAGAATTCAAATTGATTGTCAGTTTGGATTAGAGAAAAGTTTGAGCATATGGCCTTAAGGGTCTGGCTTCCTCTCAGTGGTCACAGTGCTAAGCAAGACTGTTTGCAAGTATCTGACAAGTTCAGACCAATTCTCTTCCTCAGTCTTCTGGAAACTTGACCTGGTGTCTTTTAGTGTGATCAAATGTACTTTTGTAATGACTGACTGCTTGGCTGCAGGATAAGCTTTGATATGGTAATTTTTTCCAGGGATACTCCATTTCTATGCCATAAGGCTTTTTATTGTTGTTATTCCCTAGTTCGCTTCTGTTTTGGGGTGAGGTGAGGTGTGGGTTGGGGGATTGGAGGGGGTTGTTTGTTTTGAGGTTTTTTGGGTTTTTCTTTTTCTTGTCCCTTCCTACTTGGATTAGGAAATCTTTCTGGTTTGGATCTAGGCTTTTGTAATGAACAGAGAAATGTCTTTGTATGCCTTACAAAAGGGATCTGTATTCATGTCTGAAAAGACTTCTGGAATGTTGGCACACCCAAACACCTCTGCTGCTTCTGCTGATGGCCCCAGGAAAGCCAGAGCTGCGTCTGAAGCTTTTGCCATATTATCTTGCCACACAAGTTTAAGCCTCTCTGTTCCGTAAGAGCTGTTGGCAGCATTTCATGTGCGCACGCACATGCACGTGCGCGCTTGCTCGCACTCTCTCTCTCTCTGGAGATGTTTTTAGTTGTTCTTTTATATCCCTGCAAAGATACACACTCATCACACAATTGGAGAACTGGCAGTCAAAATTTCAGATGTTTGGACTATTAAAAGGAAACATTAGAAAATAACAATCTAAATCAGTTTTTCTATTTCAGGTCTGCTGGCTTAGTCATCATTCCTTTATGGATGTTGTGACTGTTTATTATATATGTCCTTCTCATTGATGCTCTTATTAATGCAGCTTTTGCTGTTTAAAACATCAGATATTTACCAGCATTTAGCAACTTGTGGAACAGTTTTTTCTGATTCCGATTAGAAGGTGTCAGTTCTAGGACTAATAGTGGCTATAATAGCTTGAAACAATTAGTTGAGAAGTTTAATTTTTTTCATTTTCCTTTCCCCCCTACCCCCCCCCATCCCTTTCTAAACCTATCTATTGTTATTTTGTGCCAGCAATTTGACCTACCACAAATTCAGTCCTCCTGCATCCAATGGTCATATATCAAAGCCTGGACAACAACAACAGGTAAGGGATTCTTAGGCTAATTGCTCTCACTGAGATGACTGAAGTAACTAGCGAAGTATGCCAGTTTTATTGCCTCATAGTAACTTATAATAATGCCACTTCAGTTTTGTGGTTGTTTTGCTGTGGGTTTCAGGGCAGGCTCCAATTTATTTCTTTAAGTGCCTCAACTTTGGTTTTATATTTTCAAAATCTTTAGTCCTATTATTTTGGAGATGCTTCATACTATAAAGGTTCTCCTTAGCGGTTGAATGAATGAATTTTGGTGGAGGTTTGTAGAGTTTTTATAAAGGAATGATGTTTGAAACAAGTGCCAATAAGTAAACAAAGTTTATTTAATTTGTTGTTTCATATTTAAGTCATGTAGAAAGATACAGGCCAAGAGTCTGAAGCAGAAGGCAGTGTTCTGCATGTCTGCTAATGATCATTCACAATTTTTGGCACTTAATCAAACACATTGTGAGGATTTTTTTTTCTTGTTTTAATGGGAAAAGTCCATTTAATAAAATTATGGTCATGACTATCCTGAAGATTATTTTTCTGATTGGATGTTATGCAAGCTGCCTGCTACTGGATCTTAAATATAAAAAATTTAAATCAGTCTTCTGGCTGATGCAAAATGATAGTAAATACTGGAGAATGTTTCTATAATACAAATGGTCTGAATATTGAGGTCTAATAGAATCTTCAAATCAAAGCTGAAAGATGTAAGCTGTAGGATACATTAACTTTCTTCAGTAGCAACTTACATCTCTGCTTAGTCACTTCTGGGCAGATCTTGGTACTACTGTGCAAATTGTGGTTAGACTGGCTATTCCCATTTAAACCCTAACTAATCTAATCTTGGTAATCAAATCGTTTAAAAGGCAAGGGTAAGACCAGAAGTTTTTAAGGTGCACTGGTTGCTGAGTTTTAAATTTGGATCCCAATGCATGGTGTAGACTTGATTTACCAGAGTATGATCTTGTGTGCTGCTAGTCAGGCTTTCTTTTTTAGCGTTTTGTGCTTTTGTTTGGTTTGGGGGTTTTGGTACTCTAAGGAACCCACACACTTCTTGAAACATTATCTTTTTCCAAGTTCACTGCAGTAGTGACTTCAGAAACTTTGGCAGCTACCCTACCTATTTTTGCAAGAGGAACACTTTCTCGTTTGTCTTGAGAGTGCACTCTTAATTGAAGAGATGAGAGGATAGTTAGAAAGGGTGATGTTTCTCTAGATCTTTAAGAACTAAAGTACAGAAAACAAAAATAAATATGATCTGTGCCTCTGTCCGTTCTGCACAAGTAACAATTTTGAGCTAACTTTCAGTATTCTTGCTGGACAAGTAATGAACGTAGTATCGCATGGAAACAGGCCTGCCATAAATGCAAATAAATGACGTGGCAGGCTGGGGAGGTTAGGATTCCTTTTGAAAACTTGCTTTGTCTTAATCTATGGATCTTTCTGTTATATTTAACTTTGTTAAGAAATTAAGGTGGAACAGGGTAGGAAGCTAGTATGTGTTGTAAAAGGGAAAAATTAAAATTTACAATAATTGAATTTTACACCTAGGAAGTGGAGGAACCAGTACTACCAAGAGTACCCCTACCCATCAGTACTGCATCGCTGCCTTCATTCAACTTTAGTTTTCTTGCCAGTAGTACTGTCCCATCGTCACCAAGCACTGTTTCAACAGCAGTGATGAACAAGGTAAATCTTTGTTGTATATTGTGAATACTTTTTTAGGATGAGTATACATGTGCTTTGTTGCATGTTAACTTCTTCCATGGTACTTGTGAAACTAACCAACATTAGTTTATATCCTGGTGAATAAATCAAGGCTGTATTCCGATTTGGAGGTGGAAGGAGGCATAAAGTTTTGGTTTGGCCTTTGTCCATCTTGTACTTTGCAAACTTCTAGTTAACATAATTGTGTAACTGCTTCAAATGCTATCGAGATTTTGTTGGGATTTTATGCCAAGTTACGTTATAAGATTAGAGTGTTAATGGTCATATAAGCCTAGTGTAGAATATGAGCCTAGGATGCAATAATTGGAATATTATTTCAGTAAAATAAACATTCGTCTGTTCCAGCATACTTGAATCTATGTTTTGTATGTTTTGAAGCAGGTATCTGCTTTAACATGTTGAGGTATTTGCTGAAGCTCTGACTACAGTGGAGCTGAGTTAGTTTAAGGTTCTTAAGCTGCCCAGTCTGCTTTTCCATATATTTAATATATTTAGATCTACATAGCGTATCAATTTTTTCTCCTGGTCTGTGGGATTTGGTTTTGATCATACATGCTCACTTGAAAGCTTCGTTTTATTGTAACTCTTGTCTGTGGATTAGAAATAAGTATCAAACATCAGATTTCCCAACTTTGCTGCAGAACATCTGTTAGATAGTGAATTCAGGTAGTTGCTATTGTTTCGCCAGGGTTTTTTTCTTTCAGGTACAAACCTTAATTCTTTTGAAAATACAGGTACAACCAGCAAGTAGTGTTGGCAGTCCTGTGTTCAGATTTTCATCTCCAATTGTGAAGTCTACTGAGGCAGGAGTGCTACCTCCGTTGTCTGTAAGTAAAATAAATAAAGCTCCACCTTTTCTCAAGGCTTTAGTAGAATATTGTAGAACAATAAAGCAGAATTGGCCCTGATAATGGGGAAAACAAATGTTGTCATCCAGCATGTATACCAAAAGTTTGAAGACTGGATTTCAGATTATTGTTATTTGTGTGTGAAACTTGATAAAAGTTTCTTTAGTTTCAGAATCTGAAAAAATCTCTCTCTTTTTTCATAGCAGATTGGGTTTACATTTAGCGTTCCTGTTTTAAAATCAGCAGTGCATTCTGGATCCAGTGATACGCCAGTGACGTCCTTACTTAAACTAGGTAACAGAAATTTTAGCATTTCAGTTCTGAAGTGCTGATTTTCTTTTTTCGTATATTAAATAGTAAATCTGTCCTTTCTGAGCATATTAGCAATTCCAGGCAAAGTGTGTTTTCAGTGACAGATCTGCTTTTAACCAAATTGTAATTATAAACAGTTGTAAACAAGGTAGAATTTTGAAGATTCTTATATAAGAAGCATGAAACTTGGAAATTCTTGTTTCTAGCAAATATGAATGTATTTTAAGTGGATTTCTTTGTGAAAGGTGTTTTTTGTTTTGTTTTTAAAGATACTGCTGCTGTAAACAGTACCAGCAATAAGAGGGAAAAAGAAGACGACTACAATGGCTCCTCCAAACCTATGAAGATCTTAAAGGAAGGAAGTGTGTTAGACATTCTAAAAAGCCCTGGTGAGAGAATGAACTTCATTTAAAAAGATATTGCAAAAAAGACGCTAGCATATAACTACATTGATTTTTTTTTTTTTTTTTAAAAACCCACCACAACGACAACAAACCCCACTTTGTCACAGCTAATGGAATATTAGCTATAAATACAAACATAGCAGAGCATTACGTTAAATGCTGCATCTGTTAGCGTTGATCCCCCCTTCTGTTCTAGGTGGCTTTTATTGCTAATAGGAAAACTGCAACTTCAAACCAGATGCGTTGCTTTTCCTTTATGTGTTAGGATGTAATTATAAATGAAGTATAGAGAAAATTAGTCAAATAATCAGTGTTTCATTTTAATAGAATTTATGGAATTGGAAAGGAAATGTTTGTAAAATGCTTTACCAACATCCCTCTCCCACTTTCACCATCTCTGGAAATTAAGAATAGTGAAGTCAGTTTCATTCCTAAAGATGTTTCAAAAGCTGCAAATCTTTTGGCCTTAAATGATAATAGTTATTATGGATCCAAATGTAAATTTTAAGTAGAAGTGGGCTGTTTCACTTTAAAAACCCTTTTCGCATTTTTAGTTTTATGTAATTGCAGTGTTTTCAAATGTTTAATGAAGTGTGTGTAGATGATGTTTTTTGTTTTAAGAAAGGGACTATTGAATTTGATCTTTTCCTATAAGCCTTCAGTTGCATCAGGGCTTTTTTTTTGTTTTTTGTGAAGTGACAAAGCTATATACTTTTTAAGAAGACAGTGCCTTTTTATATTGGAAGAGCTAAGTGAGGGAAGATAACACTGTGCATTTTCTTTAAGAAAAGGCCTATGAGTGAAGTAGCATTAATTTTCTCTATCAGTTTAAAAGAAGCAGGATCTAAATCCACACTGTTCAAAGACTCCACTCCTGATATAAAAAAACCCAACCCATAATAACACTTTCTTCATTTTAGCTTTACAAGAGATTTGTGCTGCTATTTAACATGCATTGCCGTCGCATTTTCTTTAGTATTTTCATATTGGTGTTTCTTGTTTTCTGTTAAAATTGGCATCTTTAAATAAGGAGTTGGCCTGTGTGCAGTGCATTTTGCACAAAGGTTATAGATAACGATTTTTCTGTTGTCTTCATTTTTATTGCTTAATTAATAGCCAGTATCTGTGGGGAAGTACCGTATGGATTGCTGCTCCAAGTACTAACTTCTGTACAGCTGCTAGAGTAAATGTGAGTCATCTACTATGGCAGAAATAGCTTTAGAAATTTGATTCGATTGGGCACGGTGTCTTAAAAAGAAATTGGATTATTTCTAGTCCATGACGGTCAGTCAGCTTCCAGTACTGTTTGTCCACACTTGTATCTGCCAGTGAAGATTTGTATTGAAAACATTCTTGGAAATGAAGAGTTAAATCAAGCTTTAAATAAATGTTCTGTTGTGTCTCAGGGCAGCATATGAAATTTCATCTCTCTAGATAAGATTTCCAGTGACTTCCTCTTGCAGTTAGTTGGAATGTATCGTTGTAACCATTGGCACTTGGTCTAGCGTTGAAAGTAACTTGCATGCAGTGAGGGTACTGCTTTATCAGGAAGATTGCTTCCTGTTTTGGTTTCTTTTTTTTTTTTCTAGGCTTCACATCTGTGAAAACACAGTCCTCTACATGTGCACAGCCTGTTACAAGCACAGTGGTCTATACAAGGCCTGCAATAAGTAGTTTTTCTGCAAGTAAAGACACCTCTAAACAAGCACCCTCATTTTGGCAGTCTGACACATATGACCCATGCCTGCAAAACAAAACCACAGATGGCAAATGTGTAACATGTCAAGCTGCTAAAGTGTCAACAGCTGAGAGTACAAAACAGACAATAAGCTCAAGTCAATGTGTTGCCTCTAAGGCACCAGTCCCTACAGCAGGGACGTTGGGCTTTGAAGACAAATTTAAAACAGCACCCAACACATGGGATTGTGATACCTGTCTGGTCCAGAACAAACCGGAAGCTACAAAATGTGTAGCATGTGAGACGCCAAAGCCTGGAACAGGAGTAATGCCTGCTCTGACATTGCCAGTGGTCGCAGACAACTCGGTGACAGTGACATCCTCTTCCAGCAGCGCTGACACAACAGTCACTCTGGGGTTTGGAGACAAATTTAAGCAGCCAAAAGGCTCTTGGGACTGTACCGTGTGCCTTGTATCAAATAAGGCAGAAGACAGCAAATGTGTAGCTTGTCAGTCTGAGAAACCAGGTGTGTTCTTCTCTTTTCTGTTGTTTCAATCTCAGCCTCTGTGCATTCTTTGCGGAATAAAATACATTGCATGTAACAAATATTTTCAGCAGCATGGCTGGATGACAGGGTGGATTAGTGCCTGTTTGCAGGAATGGTAACAGGCACTTCTGATGTCTCAGCCCAGATTCCAGCCTGTCACATGAATTGAACTGATTGTGAAATGTATTACTGCAGAGCTGAATTGAAGCAAATATACCCTGTTTTGCAGCTGGTGAGGAAAGATGACTAAACTGCATGCCTTAATTAACTTAAAACCAACTTACTCATTTTCATTGGGGAAAAATGTGAACTCGGTGGAAAGAGTTAAAAATGACTGGGTTGTGTTTTTTTTCCTGTTTCAAAACATAAGTAGAAATGGTGTTTATAGAACGTGGCCAAAAATGTCTCCGCTCAGCATTTATGTGTAATTGAGCAGAAGTTTCAAGACAGTGTAGTCTTTAACTAGTTGTCTTAAGCGAAAAAGACTCTAGCTATTGTAAGGAGAAATTCTGGAAGTGTGAGGCATTTGCCATGACCATCATGGTACAGAGAATTGCACAGCTATATTACATCTGTCAAGGGGAAGAGTGAGGCAGGTGAAACGGGAGGATAAAAATGCTGTGGAAGAGAAAACCTGTTCATGTCTTTACTGTTTTGAATTTGAGGCATTATCTTTTGTGTCTCTCTTACATGCCACCCCCAGTGGTTTAAAACTGTAGGGGAACATGACAATTATGTGATGCTTTTGTGTCGTCTGGTTGTCCACTTAGTCCTCACTTAGGGAGCTGAAGTTTTCTGTTGGGGTGCAGCATCAAGTGACATCTCTTCGTTTCCAGGGGAGAAAAATCAGAAGGCAAACGTCTTTTGGGCCTGTTTATGCAGGCTTCTGCTGCTGTTGAACACAGAATTGTGGGGTTAGAAGCTTTGAGTTTCTCCCTGATTTTGAGGGTTATTTTTTTTGTCACGATGTAGATGTAGCTTTAAACATCTCTGTCTTTGGGATTTGGTGGTGAGTCATTCTGGTAAATTCTCAGCCTCACGTAACTTGACATTAACTTGATCATTAACTTGAGTGGTGCTAACTTTGACTACAGGTTACTCATGTCACGAGAAATTCTTTTAGTAGTTTTAGTTGAGTACAGTACCTTTTAATTTACATCTGAAATAGGCTATGCCATTGTATTGTATGAACTGCAGTTGCTGTTTGAATGTCATTGGTTCAATTTGTGCTTGAAATCATCTATCGTTTATAAAGAAGAACCTAGGTGTTTCTGTTGTTTATGTTCTCGGATTGAGTTTGACTGAAATTAACTTGTGGTTTGATGGCTTTTGCTGTTACTCTTCTCTGCTTTGTAATTTAGTGAGCTTTTAAGAGTTTCTTAAAAAGTTCACGTTCAACTTTATCATCTAGGCAGAATGATTAACTGTCTTGCTTATTTCTCAGGGGGTTCAGTGCCTGTGACCAGTAGCAGTGTTTCTGCATTTTCTGCTTCTTCTGGGGGATTTCTGGATTTAGACAAATTCAAGAAGCCCGAAGGAAGCTGGGATTGTGAGGTCTGCTTAGTCCAAAACAAAGCAGAAGCCACAAAATGTATAGCCTGTGAAAGTGCAAAGCCAGGCACCAAAGCAGAGCTCAAAGGTAATACTTAATGAGAAAAACAAGGGTGTGTATTCTGCAATTGTTTTTTCTTTGGATCTTTTTTTTAAGTACAATTATTTTTCCTTTGAGCTATGACAAAACTGTTTATTTTTTCCTCCAGGAATACTGATTAAGTAAGGTAATGTGCCTGTGTTTCCACGTCCTTTCCCCAGAAAAGATTATGCTTTTCAGAGAAAAGCTTGGATTAATAACGTATTTGTTCTTTCCAAGCCTTATGTGTTGTTCATTTGGAGTTTAGACTAAAAGCCTGATCTTCCAAAGAAGCTAGCAGTGTACTTTTCAAAGCCAAGTGGTGGACGGAAGTGTACCATTGCAAAAAGGTGTATGTAGAGAGGAAGCGTGGAGTTTTCTTAACTTGTTTTGTGTTTTGGTTTGTTCTTTTGGTGGTGGTTTGGTTTTTTTGTTGTTTGTTTGTTTGTTGTTTTTTAAACAGTTTTGACTCTGGGAAGTTCAGGACCAGGATCCCAGCCACATAGCTGAAGCCTGCATGTATGACATCATATATTGCAAACTTAACATTATTACTTATTTCTGCAGGTTTGGGGACTGCTACTGTGTCCACAAATGCTGCAATGCCATCATTTACATTCGGTGTCCAGTCATCCTCCTCTGAATCTTCTCATACTTTAGGTAGCACAGGGAATTTTAAATTTGGTGAACAGGGGAGCTTCAAGTTTGGCATTGCATCTGAATCTGCATCCTCCAACACTGTGACTGGGGGATTTAAGTTTCCAGGGGACTTTAAATTCGGAGTTTCTTCCTCAGAGTCTAAATCAGAAGACAGTAAAACAGAAGGTAAAAGTAACAATTTTACCTTTGGACTTCCATCTACGAGCCAGGCTCCTTCAACGTTTCAGTTTGGGACAGCGAGCCTGGGACAGCAGGAAAAGAAAGAGGAACCAGTTTTGGGAAGCTTTGGTTTTGGCACAAGTTCTACTTCTTCCATAGCTACCAGTGAGAATAAAAGCGGAGGCAGTGGCTTCACTTTTGGAACTGTGGCAGAAAAGGAGGTAGCATCATCTGCTCTTGCATTTAAGAAATCAGATGAGAAAAACGATGAAACCCTTTCAACAAAGGGAGGCTTCTCTTTTGGCAGTGTGGAGTCTGCACCTGCCTCACAGTTTGTTTTGGGAAGGACAGAAGAGAAACAAGACTCTGCCACTTCTGCTGCCCCATTAGCCTTTGGAAAGAAAGCTGACAATGAGGAGTTAAAGGCACAACCTATCTTTTCAGCTGGGACGGCTGAGCATACCAAAGAGGAGAGCACAGCAAAACCCATGTTCAATTTTAGCTTCGTTAAACCATCAGAGAAGGAAAGTGAGCAGGCAAAGCCCTCTTTTGCCTTTGGGACACAAACCAGTACTTCAGGTAAACAGAACGTCTTTTGTCTTCGCTTGTCTGCTTAGGTCCATCTGACACCGTGCTGGATGGGATTTGATATGTATCATGTGTTAGAGCTTTAAAAAAGGCTTAATTACTACCTGCAGCCTGTCTTTAGTTCTGGTTGTTGATGTGTAGACAGTATGTAGAAATTCCTTTCTAGATCTCAATGAGTTTTACACTAGGTTTAGACAAAAAAAAAAAATCGCCACACCCTAAGGAGCCTTCGAGGAAGTTGTATTGTCTCAGTAGTAGCAGCTCAGCTGGTGATAACATCTGTAGTATGGTGCAGTAGAGAGGCCTCATACTGGCGTCGTTTTTCATAGTGAAAGGGGACGAGAGAGGGAGCATCTTTCTCCCATGTACTTGCAGCTAAGCTACAGGGTATGTACTGCTGTTTCTCTACCTACTACAAAGGTATAAAAATCACTTCATAGATATTACATAGTTTTCTTTTCCTTTAATTCGTCAAAAGTCTGCAGTGGATGATTATAAAGTTCATCAGTGGTGATCGCCGTATGGAAAAATTCTGGTTGTTAAATTCCATTTGTATGACTTAGGAACTTAATTCTGTTCTCTAAAACACAGTTACTAACTTCTGAAGTGATACGGAACAGGACATCAGTAAGTAAGTAACCCTGAATAAAAGCAATACATAAGGTTATACTGGTCTTAACCACAGTATTCTTAGGTTGAACGGCTGCTCAACAGACAGGTGGTTGAGGTGTCATGCAGGACTGCTCCTCGTATGGTAATTGAAACAGGAGTCTACTTGCTGTACTTCATTTGGCATTTCTTTGGTGGTTTATGTCCTGTTCCTCCTTCCAGATCAAGGAGCAGTGAAGCCATCCTTCAGCTTCTTGAGCTCAAGTTCCTCCAGCACAGTCGTACCCACCACTTCAGCCAACAGCAGCAGTGTGTTTGGCAGCACCATCTCTTCCTCAAATCCTCAGCCCGTTCCCACTCCCTTCGTGTTTGGACAACCCAGCAACACTGTGAGCAGCTCTGTTTTTGGCAGTTCTGCAGAATCTGCAGCATCTCAGTCATTTGGCTTCTCTCAAGAAAACAAACCAGCAACCACAACTTCCAGCACCGGCACGGCTCTTGCATCATTTCTCTTTGGTTCAGGAGCCAGCAGCACCAATGCAGCAAATTCAGGCTTTAACTTTGGAGCCACGACCACGTCAAGTTCAACAGGTAGATTTTACATAGATGCTCTTCTCATTTTTGCCATTACAGAGTGGGCCAAAGAAATGCTGTTTCATGAATATTTTACTTCGGAGAAGTGTAGGCAAAATGCATGGAAGTAGAGAAAAATTTTGCGTATTTATATTCAACAATATAAATTTTGGGCCAGTTTTTCACAGACAGTCTGGGAAATACAGTTTAGGAATGAGCTGGCAGTGGCATTGTTTTATGCAAAGGACAGCCCTTTACTGGTTTTCAGTTTGTATAGGAACTTTTCACCACGAGAACGATGGTTTCTTTCTTCTCACTATGAGTCCAGTGCTTGCGGTTGGAAGTCAATGAATTACAACCTTCCTGATTTTTCTCTCCCATACCTAAAACTCTCAAGTGTCATAAATAATGTCAAGATTTGCAAAATTCTTACTTCACAAGTATGCATATAAACACAGTAGTCTACATGTAATTGCTGCTACTTAAGGATTGGTTTCTAAAAAGCTAATTATGGCCAGCGTTTCATTAATTTTCTAGCAATTTAGAGAAGACAGAGATAAGAATCCAAAGTTTCTTCATGTTTTATGCTCGCTACCCCACTCTGTGAATTTAGCAGCATGACACAAGACTAAATCCACCAAATCATCTATATTCCTGCCAGCCTAGCAGTATGTTGGAAAAACAATTGAACCTGTGAGGAAGAGACTTCACCTAGTTTGACCTGATTGCTTAACCTTGTCATTCACAGAAATCAAATTTGTACACTCTTTTGTGTTATCAGAAACAGAGAGAAACCAGTCCTAAATTATAACAACCAGCAGATCAATTTAACCTGCTTACAAACCCATAACCTTCAGTGTTGTTTCGTTAGTAGGCGACGCCGTGTTTTAAACATCTTCACAAAGGGGTTTTGGGTTTTTTTTTTTTTTAATGCACAAGGCCGTATTAACTTTTACTGTATATCTGTTCATCTTCTTGGAAAGGAAAACAGCCAGCCATTCCAAGTTACGGTGCAACAGAGGGTATTTCCTGTAGTGTGAAGGCTGCTTCGGCTGCATTAATGGCACGGTTCAGAACGTCCCCTTTTGCGTAGCAGAGCTGCTGTGTATGTTCAGAGTCGCGGTGCAGCCACGTATTGCCCTTCCGCTGTTTCTGCTGGCCGTGCAGAACCGAAGCAGCTAAAGAGAAGACGAGCTGGTGGTCTGTTGGCGTTGTGTAGAGAATTACTCTGCTAAACTGAGTTTTTGAGCACAGAGAGAGCACTGCAAGCGTGATTTGGCTGCCAGAAGTAGATAATGGCGAACACTTGAGCAGAGAGGGGTGCAGCTGCTGATAAGAAAGATTCATGTTCTAATAAATCGGGAGCTGTATTTAGAATGTTTGAAAAACACAATTTCAATGGATATTCTCTGTGATACAGACAGCTTTTAGTAAATATAAATTAAAATGTGCTATTTGTGGGAATCTGTTTCTAGAACGCGAATGTTAACACGGTAATTTGAGTCTAGACAACAAAAGCGTTTGAGATTTAATTTTGTGTGACGCTGGTAAACTTGGTGTTCCTCATGTTACCTACAAGAAAAGGTGCGAGTAGTCCTGTTGTAGCTGACATAGTACTTGTTTTATATACTCACAGTTAGCTTGAAATTAAGATGAGTATTCAGCTACCAGACGTGGGAAACACGGGGTTTTAGGACCTTTGTTTCTAGATTAATTCTTGCTGGGGAGGGGGAAACCCAGCACATACTGACATTTCCCTTCTGCTCCCCAAGGGTTGTCCTCTTCGTTTCTGTTTGGCTCTGGGCCTCCAGCGCCTGCTGCCGGCCCAGCATTTGGCACCAGCCAGCCACCAGCATTTGGCCAGAGCCAAGGGTCCAGCCAGCCAAGCGCTCCAAGTTTTGGATCGCTGTCGACGACGCTGTTTTCAGCTGGCACTCAGCCTGCTCCTCCTGCCTTCGGCTCGGTGACGAGCAGCACTCAGCCCTCCGTGTTCGGACAGCAAGCGACCCAACAGCCAGGGTTTGGCTCCGGTACCCCCAGTGCTGGTGAGTGCAGGCCATCCTCTTCCCTTTTTTTCTCAAAGGTCATAGATTTTATTTTACTTTTCATGAAGTGCACCTTAAATTATATGGAGAGAGAAGGCTGCTAGCAGCCTTGCACGCGTTTAAGAGGTCATTTCTGTGAGGCTGCGCCATAGGCATGCCAGCTTCGCAGTAAGCCAGCTCCACCAGAGGCTTGCCAGGCGTGGAGGTTGCGACCCTACCACTGAATATTGGGGTTTATTTTCTTGAGAAGTCTTAGGGATTAAAAGGAAGTGTTGAAAACCATGGAGTGTTCACTGGTAAAACTGCACAAGGCAGAAAGGCTGAAGGGCAGAAGCACTGTAGAATGATTAATTTTGGATTTGTGAACGAGTAGTTCTTAGTTATCTGGCTTCATTAACAGGCTTTGGCAATTTATTTGGATTGGGGGCTTTGTTGTGTTAAGAATATGGTCAGAATTGCTCTTAAGCATTTAATGGGTTAAGACTTTAAATAAAAGTTCATTTTACTGATGAAGCAGAAAATAACTGTGGAAAGGGGGCAGAGAATGATCCTTGTAATTTAAGTGTAAGGCAGACCTGTTCCACACTAGTAATTATTAAAAGGGTTATGTATTTGATATCATCAGGTCAAATATTTACAGGGAAAACCCTCCTTTTTTCCTTTCAGAAGTTTTATGAAATAGCCTCCATTAAACGTAACCAACAGTTTTGTACTAATCGGTAGCTTAGTTGACGCACTGTGTTAGTCAGTCAGCCCTTCATTAATGCAGTGTAAAGATAAAAATCTCTCTGGATTCTCTGTGGTGCTTATCAGTTACTTCGGTGGTAGGGATTTTATTTTATTTATTTAAGATGAGGTGCTGTGTTAGCACGTTAAATGAGAGGGAGTCCCCAGATTGACTGCACGAACGCAAGAAAGTTTACTTAAATATAAATGTACATGAGTCAATACTAGAATTTAAGACTTTATTAATAAACTTCAGTATGCACAGGCATGAACTTAATGGCGATACAGAAGCTAGCAAGCAATTCGTTATCAGCGAGCCAGCAGTGTTACTTTTAAGAATCCCTTTACAATTCTCTTAATCAAGTGAATGAATTCTTCTCTGTACCATTCCTGTAGTAACCTGGCACTTCTGGCACGACCCCCTCCCCCCAACTTTGTCACCTTGAGCGACCTGTAAAAAAAAAAATCATTAAAGAGAGTGGGAAGAACATGGGGACTTTGCTTGGAAAGGGTGAACTCAGATTTCAACTTTCTTACTCCCTGCTGCTTCCACCCCATCTTGCCAGGTTCTTTGTTCCAGTTCAGCAGTAATACTTCTAGTTTCAACTTTGCAAGTAACCCCAGAGTGTTTACTTTTGGTGCTGCAAATCCTCCCGCACCAGCAGCACCGGCACAGCCCTCTGGCTCTTCAGGATTTTCATTCAGCCAGCCTCCGGCATTCACAGTGGGGTAAGAGACCGTGTGAGAACCTCCCTCGAGCTTCGGGTGGTGTCTGTCAGTGGGCAGCGTTCAGCCTCTGCTACTGTTAAATCATGAGGCGTTCAGATGAACCTTGGGGTCTGAAACTAAACCGGGCGTCCTCCCTTGTATTAGCTAACTAAGCAGCGGTGTCTCTCACGCAGCCCAGTTGTCAGAAATACGGCGCATCAACGTATGTCAGATTGTCTTCTGCCTGAAAGGTAAAAGCGGCATCTGGCCCTTACGCTGCTGCTGCTTACCTCCTGAATGGGAGAGATTTGATTGCTTTTGGTTTCTGGAACCCTCTCCTGTTCATCATACACCGTTTGTTGCCAGCTTAGTGAGACAAGGCTACGAAACAGCGGTGTTCGGAGTATCTGTCTACTTGGTGCTGCTGCTGCTGCCTTTTCAGCTGCGCTGTCCTAAACTCTGAACTACTTGTTTCTTTTTGACAGGACTAACGGGAAGAACGTTTTCTCTGCCTCTGGATCTTCAGTTTCTGGGCGGAAGATAAAGACTGCAGTTAGACGTAGAAAATAATTGCCTGATTGGTGAAGCAACTTTTGGAGCAGCTACTACCCCGCATTGTTCAGTTGTTGGGATCGTACCTCATGCTGGGTTAGCTGAAGTCACATCTGCCTAAAGGAATATAAACCCCTTTCCACCCACCCCCCCCCTCCCTCTCTTTCCTGTTAGATTTTTTTTTTTTTTTTGGTAATAAATAGCGTTGGCAAGAGGGCCGTTCTCAAGCAAAACTATTTTAGACTCCAGCAAGTTACTTCTGTCACTGACTCGGCACGGTCTGGCTGTCGCCGCGAGTAGAGCCTGCAGAGTGAATGGCTTGTACAATACCTCTTCATCTGCACCACTATGTGCGCTCATCTGCGTTCACTGACGCCTCGGAAGTGTAATTATATCGGCGAGGGATGCTGTATAGAGTAGAGAGTGTTGGTAACGAATGAGTTCTATGCTGAGTTTGTGCTGGTGTATGTGTGAAGTGAGTGAGTTTGGGTGTATCGTGCACTAAAATTTTCTGATAGAGGAAGACTGATTACAGGATGATCCATGCTAAGGACTTGTTAGATCTGTAGTTCTTCATTTAATAATGATATGCTATTTCTATATTTTCATTCTTACAGCCCCTTATCACGTGTCTCGCCTTTGTTATTTTATTATGAAATGTGTAAATACAATTTTGTTTCTCTATGTACTTTTTTGGCATAACAAATCTGTGAAATTGAAATTTTAATTTTGTGTGTTGCGGCCATTTTTGTTTAGTATTGTCTCAGATTTTATGTAAATCCCATTATTCAAAGTTGCCTAAATCCATTTAGAAAATCTTTAAAAATTGGGAATTCTTAAAGTAAGTTTATTGGCTTTTCTGATCCATTTTTGTTTGGACCAAAAACCAGTATTGTACAAAGTATTAAGTATATATTTTTATATTTACTGAAATGGACTGTGGTGACTTTGGATAATAAGGAAAAGTTTAATATTAAAGCCATGTTTATTACAGTATAATTAACATGTTAAACCATGGGATAAATGCCATCAATAAAAACTATGAACTATTGCCTGGCAGTTTTAACTCTTCCAGGAAGGCAGCTGCTGCTGCAACCAGGCAAGCTGATGCCCTCAGCCTGAGTGGTGATGGCGCTTGCTTTCTCCAACCACTGCTTTTTAACAGTGCCACCCATGCTGATTTTAGAGGATCTTAAATTAGTGAGAGGTTCCCTGAGAGAATGGGAGAGCTTTATTGTAGGCTTAACCTTGGAGCCATACATCAGTGCGTCAGCTGTCTGGCTGCAATGGTTGCAGTTAATTTTTATGGAGCGTTAAAAAAAAAAAACCAAAACAAAGCCAATGTTAAAAACATTCACTGCCATCCTAACTGGAGAGGAAAAAAGTATGCTTGACTGTAAATGAGTAATTTAGGGGTTTTTTTTTCCACTTCTGTAGCAGTTGGAGGAGCTTCTTAGAGAACAGACGTTATTCTAGTAAAATGTGAGGAAATACTCTTCTTTGTTTGGGAACCACAGCTGAACTTTTACTCCAGCCACAGCAGCCAGTTTCTGGTTGAGATCCGAGTGCTTGCTACAGCTAGAACTGGAAAGATGCCCAGAAGTTGCCTAAGGTTTAACACCCCAGTGCTGCTCAGTGCTGGCTGGTATGACTACAGGTGCCAGGATTAGGAAATGAGATGCTTTTCGAACCACAACCTAGACCTGACAGGAGGACAAAGGCCAACTTTTGATTTTGTGGCAGTCTTACATTCACTGTTTCTATAAATAGAAGACCATCCCGCAAACAGCCTTTCAGACCACACACCTAAAATTACAGACAGTCGCAGCTTGTCGCTGCGGAGGGATTACGTGCAATTACCTGCTTCCAGGTGTCTAAATCTGAAAAATGCTACAACTGAACTTTCCTGAGCTCTATCACCTGCCAAGTACTCATCCTACAAACAGAAAAAAAATCTGCATTTTCAATGCAGCCTGCATAAGAGACAAACTAAAAGCTAGTGGTTACAGCAGCAGTAGGTAGGCATATTTCCACAGACAAGCTCCGTGTCCTTGAACAGTACATTTTTTTTCTTTACCTGCTGTGGAAGGGGTCGTATTTTTCTACAGGGTAAGAGATGACACTTTCTCTTATACCTGAATCGGTAGCAAGAAAGTTTTAGCCAATGGTGTTGCTTTTCCCTTCTTCCCACCCCCCTCCCCAAAATCTTGAATCCTAGTTTCTAGGTCACTGCTACAGTAAATAGAACGAAAGTTCTTTCTGTATTCGTACTGAAATTGTAAATAGGCAACACCCTAGAAGGGACTCCAGTTAGTTCTGACAGCTTTAGCTCCCCTCAGGCCAATTGCCAGGCCTGAACTGTTAACTTCAACGCTTCAGTCCACAGTTAAGCAATAACCCCTCAAGTTCTGCTTCAGCTAAACGTCTTCAAGCAGGCTAATGACTGCAGAAGGGTGCTTTATTCAGACCTCCCAAAACATCATCATTGCAAATGGATATGAGAACGCAAACACAGAACATTCTTTGGTTTATTAACACAATGCCGCTTGGCCAACTAAAATACTGCAGAATATTAACACTGAGCTGATTAATTGATTTCAGCTGAAGGCAAGAGAGAACACCAAGCTCTCGACCTGTTCTGTTGCCAACCTCCAGACCTGAGGCAGAGCAGGAACTTCATAGAATCATAGAATCGCTTTGGTTGGAAAAGACCTTTGAGACCATCGAGTCCAACCTTTAACCTAACCCTGCCATCCCACCACTAAACCATGTGCCTAAGCACCCCATCTACCCTTCTTTTAAATACCTCCAGGGATGAGGACTCTACCGCCTCCCTGGGCAGCCCATTCCAGAGCCTGACAACCCTTTCGGTGAAGAAAGCCACGGAGTGGCCTAGTGATGCCCAAGGGAAGAACACACGGGTACCAGGCTCTAGAAGAACTCCAAACTCTTCCTCAAATTTTAATAAAACATTAACATTGTGGCTTATGTTCCTTTGCCAAGATACCAATAATGTGAAGATAAACAGATTATCAAAGCTGTGTAATCATGCAAAATATTAGGCTTCTTTATTCAGTATTTAAGTTACTCTGAATATACAAACAATTAGGCAGAATTATAAAGTGAAAATAACCAGTATTTGTACTTCCCTAGCTTTACACCCGTAACAGGTTTCAGTTAATGTTTTCTGCATGCTCCTGAAACACATTCCCTTGTTTTGCTTGGTATTATATGCAAGAAATAGACAAGTGCTTTCACTCCAAACAGAAGCAAGAGAGTTACCTTTCCTTAGCGTGATCGGTACTGTTCACAGCTCCAGAATTATTTACACACGCCAGTCCGCTAACACTGCAGCGTAACATACCCTTTCCCAGAGTAAAAGCAGCTAGTATTTCACCTCTTCATTAGCTTTGACGTGGAGTAAGTGACAATGCTTAAAGACAGTCATGCAAAAAACTTTTCACATCAATGTTCTGATAAAATACTTCAAGAGGTGAGGGAATATCATCTGCGAAGCAATAATACGGGACATGAGTAACACCGCTCGTCTCTTTCTACACGCGTGGCAATTTAATCAACGTGATTTTCCCTAATACTGCAGTTCTCTTCCCCTCTGGGTTTATTGTGTGACTTAGGCGACTGGATTTTCTAGTTACCTGCCAACATCCAAAACAGTAGGAGCGACATTTCTTTTAGGGTGGAGTATTTCTAGGCATCTGCTTGCCACAGACTGAGGAACAGAACGGCTCCTTTCTGAAGTTAACACAGCCACTTACTTTCTCACCCATCGGTGGTTAATACTTCCAGATTTAATACGTATTGTTTCTCCCAAACTTCTTTGGCATTTATGAAAACTCCAATACTTTGAAGGTAGCTGCTGGCATCATACCGGAGTAAAACATTTCCTTTAGCTTCTGAATCAGTTCCCATTTCCTTTGGGCAAAAGATTCTGCTAGACACCTCGATTTCAGGTTTGGGGTAGGTCTTTGTTCACTGGGGGCGGGAGGGGATGTTCAAAACCAGTCTGGAAATCGCATCTTTTGGTATCATCTGACTCCGTTTCTTCTTACCACAATGGTCCCTGCTACGATATCATAGGCTGTTCTGTTATGCTGGAAAAACAGCAGTGTAATGAAGGCAGGAAAAAATGAAGCGATAGAAAAATTCTTGATCAAAGCTCGTATTGTGGACCTGAAATGAGAATGAAACATTCAGTGCCCGATTTTCACTTTTCTGTTAGTAGGTAGGTTATGTTCAAAGAAACATTCAGTGCCCGATTTTCACTTTTCTGTTTCTGTTAGTAGGTAGGTTATGTTCAACTTTAGTGCCTCAGTTTTGCACAGCATAAAAAAAAATCAAATCTCCAGATTTCAGAGTTAGTGCCTCAGTTTTGCACAGCATAAAAAAAAAAAATCAAATCTCCAGATTTCAGAAGACATGATTTTATCAGCTAACCTGAAAAATATTCACATGACTGAATAACGTCTGGTTTATTCTTAGATCACGGAATCTAACAATAGCTCTTCCAACCCAAGTATTCCAAAGGCCAGTAATAAAGGAATGCTGTATTTCCTTCCAAATCACATGCTTTCCACACTATTAACCCAAAAGCAACGTGACTGACTGAGCTAAGAGCACTTACGTTGTCATACTGACATTAGAAGATGGAATGACTAACACACGGCTGGGCGCAATAAGTACAGATGTGTCGCATGTCACAACTCGCAGTCCAAGCAAGAACTTCCCTGGGGTTGCTCCACCCGCGCCCCAAATACAGATGATCTGTAAAATTAAAAAAAAAAAAAAAAAAAGATACTTCAATTCCACACACCGCCACATCGTTGATTGGTCTCACAAACTTGGTTTTCATCAAAACTACGTCATGGTCATAAGCTTCAACATAATCCAAAACACCGTAAAGAGGATTTACTTTAGAGGCCAACAGCGATAGAATTTTTTTCAACATTTATTCAACAACCGACAACTATTAATTATATAAGTTAACGTTTATGAGTGGTTACCTCATAGAAGCAGACTAACAGCCTGTAGATGAGAGCTACTATCATCATTTTCTGCAAATCTTCCATGGACGTATCTTCATCTATTTCTTCTATTATGTAATGCATGGCAAACTTAGAGATGTCCCTGTACAAAATAAGACTGAACTTTAAAACCATCTCTCCCCCAATGCCAGTATTACCCCTTTAATACCAGAATTCACTCCTTCAGTTCTGGAATTAGCAAAAGAACAAAAGCTCCTTGGCTCCTCCGATACTAAACAAGCCATTAACATTCAGAACACTAGGTTTTCCTTCCGAGTTGCTGCCTAGTTCGTTTTGGTTTTTGTTTTTCATTAAGGAAAGAACATTCTTCATTACCACTTTTGCACAATGGTGTCCCTGGGTAGCGAGCTGCAGCATTGTTCTGAAAAGTCTCACACTTCTTGGGAGATAAACGAGATTCTGTGCGCGATCGTCTAACTCTGTATAAATGGTAGGCATCCAAGTCTCTTCCTTACAGGAATTCCCAAGGAAAAAGAAAAGGCGGCACTCCTCTCTAAATGCAAGGGAGAGGTTGCAAGTCTCCATAAGGAAGCAAGGGAGACCTTATCCTCCTCCCTTGCATCATCAGCCCTCCTCACTCTCAGTAGCCTGCACTGCTCACCATGCTCTTCTAGAGCCAGGCACCTTGGCACACAAGAGCAAGTTTTTAGCTTGAAGCAACTGAAACCTTCAGTTGTTTACCCTAACAAAGTTACATAAGGTATCAATTTGGAGTCACTTGCCCATTTTCACAAGATAAACTCTACAGATTTAACATTCATATCCGATACCTGGAACAGAACCTTTTTGCAACATGTATTTAGGCAAGGACTTTTCACTCGTGCATCTAAGTGAGAATTAGTACTCATATAGCAATGTGCAGTCCCACTTTCAAAGAAGTCCATCTGTATTTGTACTACTTGCCTTCCTCTTTATTCAGACTCAAGGATCGAAAAAAGTATAAGGAATTAAGAAAACAGTGTGGCATAACCTGCATTTCCCTTCAACGCAACCTTGGCCTGAAAGTCTCTGCCTTGAGCCTTCGAGGATGTATTTTTTTTTTGTGATAATTCCTCAACCTAGCCTCAAGCACACCACATCTCACAAGCAAAAATACCCAACCAAACAAACCCCAGAATGTTTCTCTGCAGTTACTTGTAAACAACTTACTGTCTCTTGCAAATATATTGTAAATTAATTGAAAAAGATTCCTTCTCTGTCCATCACCTTCCCTACTTTACAGAAACAGCATATATACAGTTGTTCCCCATCTTCCCAGTACTTCATTTTGCATCAATCTCAGCCTACTAAAAACAAGACAGAAATAGAAGCTGTCAGGTTAGAGTTGGAGGTTTTGGCAACTAAACAGAACTGAGAGTTTGGCATTTTAATTCTGTGTTTATCCAAACAAAAAACAGTGATCATTTACATTGACATATTTATTGGTTTGGATCTGACCCTCTTCCACACACCTTTCAAGCAGCAGTTTAAGGTGTCTCAAAGATGTTATCTGGATAGTATCAGTTTACAGTCAGTCAACGCTTGGAAGGTACCTTAGCAGAAAACTTGGATTCTGAAACGTGTTTGTACAGTAATGGAATTACTGACAACACCGAGCTCTCATCTCCTAATCAGATGGAAATATTTGATTACACCAACCCAAAGCAGAGAAACTAGACGAGCTACGGGGTAAGATATCTACAGCTAAATAAGCAGATAAAAAGAAACTCTTTGAAGTAAATGATTACACATCTAAGAATGTGAAATGAAGAATCTTCCAGTCTAGTGTATAGTTGATACACACGATGCTTGATCATACTTTTTTTTTAGAAACCCAACCTACGCCCAGTTAAGACTGCAGCATGGTAGCATTCCTAGCAATCAGGCTGTATTTTAACAGCACATATGTATCTGACATGCGGAATCCGATCTTTTTTTTGTGGGACCAAACGGTTGTCTTGGTCACAAATCTAAAATGCAGCACCATAAGAGACGCTATGAAGAAAATTAATTCCATCCCAGCCAGATCCAGTACATTTTTAAAGGCTGTTTAAAAAACAAATTCATTTGTCAATATTTTTCCTTTGAATTTTTTAGGGACTTATTTTTAAAAATCTTGCTATTGTCTCCCAAAAATGAAACTGCAAGTCTAATCTACCCTTAGTAAGGAGTATGTGAGCCTGTGAAGACACCTGTACAAATTCTTTGTTTCCACCAGCTAACCCAAAATCAGAGAGTGTTTGAAAGGAGGTTAACCTAGAGCTGCTTTTTCCTCAACTTTTGACAGTTACTAAGTGACATCGTGTGCATAAGCATACCATATATACGCCATGACCACTCAAAGAGCATGAAGAGCTTAAAGCTGTATATAATAAAGCTTTAAATTGTTCAACTTACTTTATTCCACTGAGGTGCATAATACTTAAAACGATGGTTGCCTTTATGAAGAACAGAATAAAAAAATCCACCATCTCTGCTATGAACCTGTGTGCCAGCGAAGGGATAATGAACTCCCGACCTGTAACAGAAATGGTTAACATTACCCAGATTTTACTGCACCAACACAGTTAGCGCTATCTAAAGAACGTTTCACATTAACCTCACTGCAAGATTATCAAGATCTTGATCTCAGCTCACATCTTCGAGAAAAATTCTGAAGCTGTATGAATAAAAAATCATCTGAATTGTTTAAATTGAGTTATAAGAACCTTCTTAAATTAAATCAAACTCTTTCAGAACTCTCAGTCCCCTCATAGCTAGGATTACAGGCAAAATCCCACACCGCTGAAGAACCGAAGTAGATCGAAGATACATCAGTTTCTGTGTTTTTCTCTTTAGAACAGCTTCAGAGAGATAGATTTCAGTAAATCTGAGAGTTCAAATAAAAGGAAAATTAAATCTTGGAACTACCACAATTTTTCTATCGCTCAGCAGCAAGGCTTCCATACGTACGAAGTACCAGCTCCCTAGAAGTAAAACACAGCCTATTTTGTCTCAAGTCAGACCCAGAAACAGGAGCAGATGAAAATACTCATCATAGCTGGCACAAACGTTCCTATAGACGTCTTGTTACAATAAAATGCAGCATGCTGCCCTACCACAAGCCAGAAAATGTAACACATTTCTCCTATTTAACTGGCCAAGCACAAATGGGGGTAAAATAAGCAGTCACAGTTACAAGCTTTTGTTGCTAACACTACCTCAGATGATTAAAGCAAAGGCAGTATTAAAGAGTATTTTAGAAAGTTCCCAAGGAATAGTGTTGCAAAATAATTTCATCTGAACCCATCTACCCCTCTGTATTTCCCAAAAAACAAGCATGACTACTCAGATGAAACCAGCAAAGACTCGCATCAAAACTTCATTTAGAAATACCCAAGCACTACTAGATGTAACTTGTGGAAAATAGCAACTGCATTTGTTAAGTGTTTCTGAGAATGGCACACACCCTGCCTCAAGGAAAGGACAAAAGGACAGGGGAAAGAGAATCATTCCTCTCTCCAATCTCAAAAAACATCATCAAATTTCACTTAGAATAAGCCTCCACAGTTCAACCACTGAGGCTGATAATGCCAGTCCTGGCCTCACAAGCTATGCAAGCAAAGCTGAAAGCCCACAGCACTTGGGCACTTTTTAAGTAAGTATAATCAAGCAGAGATGAGGTAAGAGCGATTTCTTATTTAACATACCTCAGTTATAACTGAGGTTATAACTTTATTTCATACCTGCTTCACTGATAACGCTGCATTGACACTTCCAAGCAGCATGACTATTACGTAAAAAATACTAAAATGGACTCAATTCTCATTGTCAAAGCATGTCCAAGTTGTCAACTAAATTCTAATTAAAGATTTTTCAACTAAGGCAGAAGGGAGCACAGCCAGACTCCCCAGTCCTGGGGTTGAACATCCAGCGCCAGACAAAAGCGTTCATTTGCTCTGTTGAAAGGATCACCTTCGCTGAAGTTAGTGGCACAGTTTCATTTGAATACATTAGACTCCTCGACTGAGTAAGGAATAAGCTAAGTGGGGCTACGAAAATAAGCGTTCAAATTATGTTAAACTCCATTATATTAAGAAACCTTGGCAACCCTTAGACTCTGGCAGACTTCCATTGCAGTGATTTGAGACGTTCCTCATACCAAAAATCCACTAGTTTGCCAGGGGTTACTATCTGCATGGCAGGGACAGCCAAATGCAACACGCATCCATCTCAGCTCGAAGTCTAGGATCTTACATTAAACCAGAAATAAAGACAGGTTTGCACCAGTCAGCCAGGCAGAGCAGCTGAGGCTTGGACGCACTTTTTGCTCTACTGTTCCCAGCAGAAGAGCAGTAATCTCCTGCAGTGAAGCAGGGAGGGGCGAGGGGAGGAAGCGGCTTAAGTCACGATGACCGTCCACAGAAAGCCTGCTACTGCCCAGCGTGCAGTTAATACCAGTGCTCTGACACACACCTGCAGGCAGATTGAACCGGACGAGGCAGTTACCAACTCCAGTTTTTGACATCCCGGTTTAAAGTCTGCAACGCTAACATAAGCTGTCACTTACTTCAGCTTACGCAAGCACACCGGGCTGTGAACTGCAGTGGCGTAGGGAAGGATACGTGACCTGCCCTGCCAAGCCTGCTGCGCGGGCAATAATCTGCAGCAGAAAAGAAGGAGCCATAATCGCTTTAGCTGTCCTAAATACATCCGTTGGCAGTTTGGAGCCAAAGCACGGGCACAACGGCCTTTGTTTGTAATTGTGTCATATCACTGCACCACATACAGAGTTCCCTTAAGAAGGTCAGGTGTCGCAACGGTACTTAGCGTTCAGAATAACCACGCTCAGCAGTATCAAATGCTACTCGTGCCGTAAGTTACCTTTAACATATGGAATTAGTTCCTGAAGAACTAGGTAGAAATCCAAGAACCGTTTCAGTCCAGCCTTTGCCCATATCCTCTTTTCCAATGACTGGCAGTTATCTGTTAGAAGCAATCTATAACTCAGAATCAGGTCACAATTAAAGAGAAGGCTACTTTGCGTTACAACCTTGCTCAAACAACAGCTGCTCAAAGCCACAAAAGCAAGCAGCAAGGTCAGAAGCTTGATTCCCTTCCCTTCAAAAAGAAAGAAAAAGCAACTAAAAACGTTCTCCCCTCACACCCAACCACTAAACAATGTTACAGATCAGTAATGCTGTACTTTGCCCTGCAGAAAGAAAGGAGATCTGGCGTTTCTCCAAAGTCCTTTAGGAGTGCCCCGCTCCACGTTTTTTTTATTATTCAAGGTGCTACCAAACATTCAGGGAATGTCACCGAGGCACTCCCCGACTTGTCAAGAAACGTTTGTGTGCTCCAGGTTTAATCTCTCATAAAAGTCTGTCTTGCTCTTGAACAAACACAAACAGAACCACTGCCATGCATACTCTTCATTATTTACAGCCAGAACAGACATTTGTTTACCTTGGGTCCTGTCGCTACCTTGTTGAACGTAAGAGCATGTTTTTACTTCTCTGCTTCAGTTTCATTAAATGATTTTATTTGAGCACCAAGAGCCCACTAAAACTGATAAAGCTAGTTTGGATTTCATCATCCAAAGAGGCTACTCAGAAAGCTGGATGCATTACAAGCCTGTGACCACAAGAATAACTTTAACTGCAAAAAATAAACTCCTTCATATCCACGAAGCCCTCTTACAAGCACCGAGGTTGGAAGCTGTAGGCACAAGTCCCCAACCCTCCCGACGGATTAAGTTCTGGACTTACAGGCTCGGTATTTGGGCTGTCACCTTTTACAAGGCGCAGCTGCAGGCCCGGGCCTGCACCCCACACAGGCGCAGCGACCCCTCGGGCGTTGCAGAACCCCCGGCTTCCTTCTCGAGACGCCGTTCCCCAGAGCTGCGGCGGAGGGGCC